TCCTAGTGAGCTATTATATATGACTCTTAAAACCTGAAAAGGGTTCAAATGAACTGAACAGAGCGAGGTAGTCATTCATAATGTGCCCTGAGGCCTTAGCATCAGATTCAACTCCACTAAACGCTCCAGTGCACGTGCCCCTCTTACCTGTTCTGAAATTTCACATCAATGCTCCACTTTAGGTGATAAAGGCAAAGTTCTCTCTCCAGGTAGTTCATTATTAAAACAGAGGGACGGTAAGAGGGTCAAAGGTTGGCAATGACTTGTTTCTTAAAAGTCCACTCCAAGAAACACATTTAAGTTTAAACTGAAGGAGGCGGAGAAGAATGAGGAAGGCCGGATACAGGCCAGGTAAGAGTCCACGTGGAAAAGGCCGCAGCAAGGCTCCGCCAGTTCTCAGGCAGCTGTGGGCCAGGAGACCTACCCTGGGCAAAGGTGAATGTGATGAGGCGTGACAGGGGCCTAAAAGGATGACCCCCTAAGGTACGCTGAGGGGTCAACAGTCTCTCCCAGCTCAGGGACTGCGTCGTTACTTGGCCGCCATCTTGACACCTCCTTCTCAGCCTGCCTCGTCAACCAATTACTCACGGTTTTTTTTTTTTTTTAATTGCACCTCCTAAATTTCTCAAGCCCACCGACCTCTCTCCACACCTACTGCAACTATCCTAGTGCCTAGCTTCTCCTATGGACAACTGCAACCTCCATCTCACAGGTCCCCTGTGTCCTCTCTTGCCCCGTCCAATTCATCCTCCAAACTCTTTCCGTAGTGTTTAATGAAATGTTGTCCTGCCTACAGCCTTTCACTGCTTCTGTATTATCTGATTTCCCTTTATCTCTGGCCCCTTCGCTTACTAGTTTCCTACCAACTGGCCTCCCTGAGGTTCTGTGAGGACTCCGGCACTCAGCGCCAGAGATTCCTGCATCGATGCCTCCTCACCTTTGCCTGGAAAGCTTTGGACCTACCTCCTCTTTTACCTGGCTTTAAAATTCTTCAGAGCTTCAGAGCAAAGCATTACTTGCTTAGGAGGAGTTTTTTCCTTTCTAAGACATTCTTTAAGGCCCCAGCTTTAATTATATGTTCATTTTATGATTCAGTAACACCATTTTTAAAAGGACACTTCTCCCAGCGAACAAGCTCAGTGAAGCAGGGACAACACCTGGGTTGCCCACGACTGAATCCATAGGACCCAGCCTGGCGCTTGTGCCGCTGGAGAACTTCAACAAATGTTTGCTGAGTGAGTAAACGAATGGGCAAATCCTTTTTCCTTCTCCCTCCCCTGATTTTATCCCACGTCTTTCCTCATCTCCCTGAAGACCTATCAAGGCAGGAAGCAGAAAATAGGACATATTCTGAAAATGTCTAATCACTATGATACTTAAGAAATAAAGCAAACAAATACCTTAAATAATTAAATATATAAAAATATTCAGCCGAGTCGACTGTCTCCCTTGTGATTCCATCCATTTCTAAGCTCTATCACTTTGCTATAAATGACTCTTAAATAGAGGTCATAGGTCCAATCTACGCCCTGAACCCGTGACCATCTCCACCTGTCTCCTTGACTGAGCTCTCCAACCAGCACTTCAAACTCTAAATGCCCCAAACCAAACTCATCACCTTTCCTAAATATGGCATCGTATTAAGTTTCTTATTCCTGCGACTGTCACCCTGGCAATTACCACGTCATCCATGTTTGACACCTTCTGTTTGTTCTGAGCCTTCTTTTCTGGATCCCTATCAGTCAGTGGCCCAGTTCTAAAGATTTCAGCCCTAGAACCACTGGTCTCTTTCCTCCTCCCTCCACTCCTCGCATGGAGGCTGAGGTCTCCGTTACAGAAACCCTGGTCTCCGCCTCCAGCGGCCCCTGAGCACTCGCTGCATTAATCAAGCCTAAATCCATCTCTGATTGGGTCACTCCCCTTCTGAAAAGCCTTCGAAAGAATGACGATGCTACTAGCCAAGTGTTTCTCAACATTTAACCTATATTCCCCACTCTTTCTGATTAATGTAAAAATCTCCTATCCCTTCTGTACTTTATATTACAGAAACAACAGGGGTTATTTCCATTCCTTAAACAGAAAACCATGTAGGATTCAATGAGCTTCCTCAAACTCTACTCAACTAGATCTCATTCTCACTGTAAGATTATGGGCTCTCCGGAGTACCTGGTAGGCACTCAATAAATGTTCATTAAATAAACTACTAAACCGTAGCATTCAGGGTCATCCATGGTATAAACTCAGCCGGTTTTCCGGTTTTATATCCTTCATCAGCCAAAGCACACCCGGTTTTCAAAGCCTGGTCCCAGGACCAGCAGCAGCTGATCACTGGGAATTCATTAGGAACGCAAATTCTCAGGTCTGGCCCTAGACCAACTGAATCCGAAACTCTTGGAGTAGAGCCTTGTAATCTGTGTTTTTTTACAAGCACTCCAAGTGATTCGCGTGCATGCTCAAGTCTGATAACCACTGACTTAGACTAGTTGTGTAAACATTATCCTTCCTACTTCCATTGACCTGCAATTCCTTCTGCTGGGAAACGCCTCAGAACCTCTTCCGGTGCCCAGCAAGTGCTCAATGTTTTTTATGACTGAATACCTAAATACACTTCTTTTTTTTTTAAAGAGTGAGTTATTTATTTATTTATTTTTAGACAGAGGGGAAGGGAAAGAGAGAGCCCTGACTGGGAATTGAACTGGCGACCCTTTGGTTTGCAGGCCAGCGCTCAATCCACTGAGCCACACCAGCTAGGGCTAAATACACTTCTTGTGCACCCACTATTTCAGTTTTCATTAGAAAATACAAATTTATTCTTAGTAATAAAATGTTGATATTCAAAAAGTGTAAGCTAATTAACACTGTGCATATTTTGGGAGTAAATCATCTATCATCTACCTTTCTGCATTTGAAGCTTAGTACGAAGTTTTCTACTATGGGGGCTCTTGAGAGGGGATACCTGTTTCAATTTCAAAGTTAAAAGAACTGGAAGCTTTGAATTTAATGATTTCAATTTCCCAGAGCTGAAGGTAGGTATTTATTAACATTTATCTGGCCAGTTGTTTGGTGTCCAATCACGTAGTGGCTCTTGGGAGCCAAACGAGACATTGGCTAACCTTTATTTATTTATTAATAAATAAATGCAATAAAAGATGTGCCCCAAACAGGTGCGCCCTCATGTAGGAAGAAGATTTAAACCAGGGAGAAACAGAATTGGTTTTTTCAGGCTGAAGAGACTTCATCCTGTTTCCAAAAAAAATTTTAAACCCCCAAAACATGAAATGCAATAAGCTACCAATTTGAAAACAGAAATATAATTGACCAATGTCTAAGGGGGAAAACCATGTAAAACCCCAAATACTACACACAGACACACACACACACAGACACACACACACACACACACACACAAATGGCCATGAATGCAAGATAGCAGAAGTTATTTAAGTTCTTTAAGGAAATGGGATGTATTGTTGGTACTAGAACGGTACCTCATCATAACAACAGGATTAGCATCAAGTTATCAAATCCACAATCAGAGTACGTTGCAGGCAATTTTGGATTACCTAGGACAATTTTCCATTTTTCAGGGAAGAAACAGCCTCAGATGGATTATATAACTTTCCCAAGATCACAGATTTAAGCAGTAGCAAAGCCCACATCTACTTATTCTTAGACCAAAGGTCCTCATAACATCACTCGAAGGTCTACATTGAGTCGAGACCTGCCGATGGCCATGAGAACCACAAAGGAAAACATCACGCACTTAGGCAATACCATCTGTTTCCATTAGTCCATCTGATCACCTACCAGGTATAGGAAATATCTTTACCAGCTCTTTAGCATGTTACTAACAAATTGTGAGAAAGCCTACGACAAGCTCAGGATAAAAAACTGGCTTAACTGTTATGGACATCTTAAAGTTTAGCTAGGGGCGTAGAGAACTTAAAAATGTAACAAGCAAAACTTAGTACGCAAAACAGAAAGATGGTTCTTGCTAATAATATATAAGCCCAAGGATGGGTTAAGTGAAAGATAAAGAAAAATTTCCAGGAAGCGCTATTGTTTTTGTTCTGCAACTCTAAAAACACATGTTGAAACAATAAACCTTTAATTCTACAGTTGACAGGATCCTCTTTCAAGTTCTGGTTTTGGCAACTCCCAGACACAACACTTAACCTTACAATTCATTTTTAAAATATGGGTCAAATCCCATTTCAATGAAATATCCAAACTCCACTGAGATAATTTTTAAATTGTAGAGTTTTAGAGATTGAAAAAACTTCTGAGACCATGTAAACCAATACTATCATTATATAAAAGAAAGAACTAAGATTTCTGACGGATACAACTTTAATGCAACAAAAAATGTAATATTCCTTGAATTTGAGAGGGGGCACAAGAGCTTTCTGACTATTCTGTTAAAATTTAAACACGTTACTCTACCTATTTCTGTCTTGCTTGAATATTGTTATATGGTTCACTTTTAATATTTTTTAAACAGAAAATCAAAATAAAGCAAGATTTTGCTGCTTACTTATTTTAAAGTTTCAAGAACTTTCAAAAACAAAACACTGAATAATCTGGCAAGAAAATTTCAGTAATATAATTATGAAAAAACATTACTATACACACAGGGCTTTTCCTCCTAATATTCCAGCATGCTCTCGTTTATAATATGGAGTAGTAAGCATCCCACAACAGAGTAGAAAATAACAGGTGAGAAAAGATAAAGTCCGTACACAGAGAATGACTCTAACATAAAGACTGCAAAAACATGAAACCTTTTATATCTTAGAAACAAGGTCTTTAATATTGTCAAGATTGCAAGAGACACCAAAGCACAGAAAGATAAATATTGTAAAGCAGGGGCCTCCCTTATTCAGAGATTTCTATTTCTATCTTAGGTAAAATGTGAAGAACTTCTTTTCGTAAAGAGGGAAAAAAATTAAAGGGGTCATAGAGCTATTTACAACAACCTGTGCAAACACAGACCAACATACCTATTGTTGTTCCAGCAGTTCCGACAGGTAGCGCACTCCGCTGGGTCCGTCTGGGGGACTGCTGTGTACCTCCCGCCGCCCTGCTGGGACGGGAGCACAGGAGAAAAGAGAAGACAGAACGCTGAAGGTGCCATTGACCACTGACCAAACACTCTCAAATACAAAAGCCACACAGCAATAAAGGGATACCCAGTACAGTTTAACCTACTCCCTGAACAATGTTAAGCTTATCGTTATTTACCTACATTCACAAAGGAGTTCTGCACAATATTGAAACTGTACTCCAAAAACTTAATTGCCATGTTTTCTCATGTATTTTTGTACTGGAAGGAGGCAAATAAATGGAGAAGGTTAGTCACTTCCCTTCAGTGTTTCAAACCTAACGGGCCTGACACACTCTATACACTATAACCTCCTATTCATTTTTACTTTCCTAGCAGTCATGGAAGAATTTCATGCGATGCCAGTTGGGGAAACAGGGTAGAAATGTCTGAATGATGTCATAAGATAAACCCATCTTCATTTTCCTGTAATTACTTCGATTAGGTCTGTTCACTTGACTACACTAAGTTTTAAAACATGTTATATTTTTCCAGATGGAGTAGATTCTCAGCCAGCAATGACTTGGAGGGGAGTATTAATATTTTGGTGTTGCTTTTGGCGGAAACTGCCCAGCAATTAAGAAAAATGCCCAGATTAACACATACCTCATTGTAAAACGTTCGCTTGACATATACAATGGCAAACGTTCTTGAAAACTGGAGTGCAGAATTGACCCAGCCATACGGTCAGGGTTAAAATTCTGCTCTCGGATGAAAAACAGCAGAAGTGAATTTGATAAGGGAGGGGAGGCCCCCGCACTGCACCCAAATTCAGAGCAGGCCCTCAAGGTTAGGAAAAGTTCAGGCATTGTTTTTTCCAGAATACTTTCCATTTCCATTCATCTCATACCAACAGCCAGAATCTAAGCAAACCAAAAACACTGAAAATTTCTCTCAACATTCTTGATCCAACTAGCAGCAGGAATTTTTAAAAAAACATTGAGAGAAAGAATATTCTTGGGCTATATTCAGCCATGGGGGTAAACTTAAGAGCTTCAGAAAATCAACTTAAAAGCTATAGGGTAATGAGCTTATTTAAATCACTAACCATATTAAAGTTAATTAATGATTTTTATGATGACCATCATTTTTTAAATTTCCAGATTTCCTCCCACCTAGAAGAGTAGAGTAAGAAAACTAATGAGTTAAAATTCCAGGTGATAACTTCTAAAATTTTACACCTAATGGGGTGACTATTATTTAAATAGTCATTCATTGTTCACAAAACTGAAGCACAATGTTCAAACCCTAAAGCAAGCATCAGATTTATTTTTTTCTTCTTATGGAAACAGCATGTGCTATTCAGACTTTAATGCACTCTCCTTCAGTTTCTTGGATGTTAGCAGTCTGGACTAGGAATGGTGACAAAAAACGTTTAGGCAGCTGAATATAAGCCATGGCTTTCCACACAAAATAATTAAATCATCATTCTCTTTCGGTAGTGAGATGCAATAAAGCAAATTAGATATTTTTTTATGCAACATACTAAAGCTAGCTCACACTAGCTTTCTAACTTTAAGTTACAAATAAATATATTATCATTTTGTTCTCCAAATAGTAAGTCTCTATTAAAGTCAAAGATAAAAAGAAAACTAAACTTCTTCAAATTTTAGCACATTGTGGGTTATGGCGAATTTATCTATAATCAGAACGATGACAAAAAAATAAAATTTGATCAACTAAAATTATCTATTTGGTTGAAAAAGAATGCAGATGCGTATCCAAATGGTGTAATAAGTCAAACTCCCTGGTGCAGAGAACCTCTTAAACCAAAACAAATTTAAAACCTCCTTCTCATTCTGTTCCTATTTCAGAAATTAAACTGCACCAATTAGTGATTCCTGAATTAAAATGGTTTTAAGGGCTCCTCATCTCTTGTGGCTAAGAGTATTAATACTGTAAAATGCAAAAATCTTCCAGGCAACCACAACAATACACGTTGGGAAAACAAACCAAAGAAACTCCCAGTGTGTTAGAAGTTGGTCTGGTGGCCTGCAGACGCGGTCTACAAGGCCTACGCAATGATTTCAAGAACCGGAATGAGTTTCCAAGACTCACGAGTTGCGAAAAAACCTGGCAGCTTCACCTACATTTACAGATGCTTTGGAAAAGTGGGCCGTCCGGCCACACTGGGCCCTGCAGGCCCCCAGCCGGAGCTGAAGCACAGCAGCTGCTTTTGCACGGCGCGCCTGCCCTCCGCCTGGGAGCTGCTTGCTTCACCCAGTGTCACAATCCGCCAGACTCCTCTAGCGACAGGCGTATTCAGCCTTTGCTCTACATAGGTCGAATTTAAAGTATCTGGTCCAGTCTTGACCCAATGGCATTTCCATTTCACCTCAAGAATAACTTCCAGTCTGTTTGCTACACGTTCTACTTGCAGTGCTAAATAATTTAAATATAGAAACCAAATGGAAGAATCTATCTGTTACCAGCTAACAGAAATCTTACAAAGATCACCCTGGGTCAAGGGGTTGCCAGGGACGCATACTAACTCCATTCCAATGGACCAGCGAGGCTCCCACAGGGCAAAAAGCCAGCCTGCCCACCCTGCCCTTGTGCCCTGGCACCGTGGGGCCCGGGGATGGTTTCATTTATAAGGGGCTCTTACATTCATGAGATGACGAGGATGTTCAAAATCCACATGTGTCCCGGTTAGAGAGCTCGCGTGCACAGAGTAAAGCCCTCCGTTTAAGCTCCCGTTCCCAATTCCATTGACTCCATTCGGGACCTTGTGGTAGAGATGGGAGCAGCCGTTGCTGAGACCGCCGTTGCTTAGGAAGCTTCTGTGGACGTTCCCATTCATCCGCTTTGTGCCAGGCAGGGTGGCGTAGTCCATCATCTGTCCGTTGATATCTGTGCCTTGGTAGAGGTATCCTGGTGGGTCATATTCTGTAAAGAGAACAACGGCAACAAAAAGATACTGAAAGGGATAGTCATTGTGCTCAGGGAGTTTTATTAATAAAACCACTAAGAAACTACAAACACACCAAAATAAAACATTTTAAAACTGTTCCGTGAAAGCCTACTTGTGAGATAGGCTTTAATAAAGTTGTTGCTGCTATTTCCTGTACTATGTGGCGGTATCTAGGAACTATGAGTTAATTATGGCCCTGTGAATAAGAAGAGAAATTAACCAGACAGCTATTACTCCAAAGGGAATTAATAAATTGTGCAAGCTGAAACTATCGAAGCACTGGCAATGTTAAGCGTTTAAACTGCCGCACACTTCACAGTGCTGAGAGAAATGGTATAAAACAACAAAAAGCTAACTATAGGCAGGATATTTCACAGAGCAATAAATAACACTTTTAAGGAAAAGGCTGGGGTTGTATGTACATTTACTGACGATTCACAGTTCCTTGGTTACTGTAGCCCCTTTGGAAGTTGTGAGGTACTGAAGGCAAAGGGCTAATTATTCCATTTTCTCCTATTAAAACCACTTAAAACAACGGCCTCAAAATTCTGATTTTCAGAGGTGTAGTTAGAAAAAGCAAAATATCCCTTAGAAAGCACAGTGTCTAAACTGCACAGGATTTGTTGTAAGAGTTTGACAAATTCTCCACCGGCAGCAGAGTGCACCCAGACCGGAACCGGCGGCCCTCCGGCGGCGGGCCCTCCCGCGCGGGCGTGCTGCTGCGGGTCTGCCGCTCATCCTCCCCACGAATCTACAAACGGAGCAGGCAGGGGCCCCGCGGACCTTCCTTACCTTCCTGTCGCTACTGTCGACCACCGTGCCAGGCACACAGGAGCCGGCCAATGAGTGCCTTTTGAATGAATGACTGAACGAACGTTACTATTTTAAATTTCCATCTTTAAACATATTAGCAAGTCACCAAAAAATGACTTTAACCAGATTAATCTTGCTCAGGCAACCAAATCATTACTTTCCTTTCAAGAATTCAACACATACTCACCCAAGTAAAGTCAGTAACGTTAAAACTGTTTAGAAAAAGACCCAATGAAACGACCCCCAGCCCTTGCAGCCTCACCTGACCACGGCCACTGCGCCCCTCTCTTTGCGTGTCTCCTGGGCCGTTCCAAGTCAATGAGCTCGCTCCCCAACCCCGATCGCTGCCGCCCCCCGCCCCCTTTATAAGCTACAAAGGGACCATGTGTGGGAGCTGGATGACAGAAGCTTGAAGTGCCTGTCACTGCTGGTGTCTTCCTTTGCTCTGCTTTCAGACTCTTATTCTGGGCCAAAGGGAAACCCAAAACCTTCCTCCCATTGAAGATGGAAGTCACTGGTGGAGCTCACGGCCCTACGGTCGGACAGCTGCGGGGACAGGGCAGGTAGGAATCTGAGAGGAAGAGACCTGGGCAAAGAACAGGGAGAAGCGCTCTGCCTTCTGTGTTTTAGCACAGGGCCATCTGTGACTTCAGCTCCCCTGTCACTAGATGCTTTTAGGGGCAGGGAAGGCCACTGGAGTAGTTTGGGTACATCCGGTCCCAGAACAGGACCGTGTTACCTTAACTGGTGTCACTCAGGGACAGTGACTTAGGAAAGTCTTCGCTGCCTTTCTTTCCATCATGCCTTTCCTGTTCCCTGTTGACGAGATCTGTACAGTATGAAGGTGTTCCTGTGGCAACTGCAAAGCTCACGCTTCGAGGACTCATCCTCTTTGGTGGTCTGATGAAGCCAGAGTTTCCCAGTGCGAAGCCAGCTATTTACTTAGAGACTGGCTTAGCTTTGGCTTTGCTGTTTATTTCTACCGGGCTATTTAACCTGATGCTCCACTTACTTTGGTTGACAGCTGAAACGGTTTTAAAGTCACCTCCTCTGAATGAAGAGCAGCTAGTGTGTTCAATGCCACGACACTAATACACGGAACGGTTAGAAATGAATATTTACTCCGACAATATTTGTCTACCCATCGTTTTGAAAGAAGAGAAGGAAATGTTTAGGAAGGCCTTACTCTGTATGGTATTCTGCTGGCGGTTCTTCCACAGGCACATGGCAATGAAGACCATGAGGATGAGGACCATCACGCCCAGCACGCAGCCCACTATCAGGTACAGCATGTCACTGCTTCGGGCCGGGCTGGTGGCAGGCCCCACGTCTCCTCCGCCCCCGGAAGAGCTGGGAGGGGTACTCCAGTCTTTGACAGGGTACTCAGAAGCTCCAGGGACACGTTTTACTGGTTGAAATAGAAAGGAAAACATGATGTCAGAGGGAACACAGACGGACTCTATGAAATGGTTTACTCTCTGAAGGAGGTCTGGTTAGGAATGTAAGCCAGTCTGTTTATACTTGTTACTGAGATGATCTGACCACCAATGAGTCACAAGGAGGGCTCAAAGGGTTCAAAATCTGATGTGACAAAGTTTTAGTCGACAAATTCTAGAGAAAACATAACATAAGAGAAACATACACACTTGGTCTAACCCGAACGGCTGATTATCTGCTCAGCTGCACTTGCAGAAGGCTCCCTGGGGGTTCAAACAAAAGCCTGTCCGCTTATGGGTGGGGCCAAAACTCCTTTCTGTCTGACAGACTTTGAGCTGAATAAGATTCAGAATTTCATACTTTATGCCTCTACCGTGTGATTAGTCTTAGAAGATATGATTTGGGACTATGAGAACCATTATATGCAATCCCTGAAAAACCTCACACATAAATATTAAGCACTGCAACACCAAAAAGTTTTGGAGTTCATGTAAATGCAGTATTTTGACCTAGTTCATTGATATAATAGCGATAACAAAAGCTAACAACAGGTGGAACTCAAACCCCCTTTTTCTCTGTCCCTAAACAACATGCTCTTCATGTCGTGGAAAAGCAGTGGGGCATAGGGGTGCCAGTCTGCCTGTGGAAGCAGACCGCCTACGTCTACATGCCGCCCCACAGCGTATCCTTGCTGTCTGGCTTTAAGCTCCACGAACCAGTTTCTGCGTGTGGATAGTAAGAACAGCCCCATCACAAGTTAGTCCGTGTACAGCGCTCAGAATAGAGCCCTGCACGTGGCGGTGTTCAGTTCTGTTAGGACCATTACTTATTATACTGTATTTCACGTTATGGCACCTAATAACCCGTATGAGCAGAGTGGTCTTTTAAAGAGTCCACTTCAACATTATCCCGGAGTTCAGTTTTCTAGCAACTTCAACGAGACAGAGCAGAGCTGGAAACTGTACCGGAGAGGCTGCCTTTCAAAGGAGAGAGCTCTCCGTCACTGAAAGCTACACGAAGACTTGGCAGAGACTCTAAAGGAAATTATGGTATGTTGGATTAAACAATTCTCAGGTTCCTGCCAATTCTAAAGAAAACAAACAAGTTTCTGAGGCAAAATGGATGTTACGGATTATACATTAAAGATCATGATGACTCATAGGGAAGTCCTTCAGGTTTATTCACTCTTTATTTACTCTTAATTTATCCAAAATTCTACCAAGCTTGATGCTCTGGTTGCCAACCTCTGGCTGGCTAAAGCTGAAAACTTTGCAGTGAGTCGGACAGACCCATTAACATCGATTAGAGACGGCCCAGAATGTGAATTAAGAAAGGTGATGTGAAAAGCATAAAGACGTTGGAACACAGTCACACACCCACATAAACTCACGCAGCAAAACAGAAACAGAGCGAAAGAACTAAAGAAAAGTCCTGACAGTCTCTGATCTCTGGGGGGATGCGGCGGGTGGCAAGGACGGGCCTTCAGCACCTCTGACATTCCCCAAAACCTTCCTGAATTACTAAAGATAAGACAATCATTGTTCACGAGAACCTTGAGTCATTTCTTTAAAAGGTGAATTCGTATAAAATATATTCTATTTAAACAGCCTAGGGACTGTGTAATACATTAGGAAATCATTCGACACGAACAGTTAACATTTAAAGAAGTTTTTCTCATTTTGCACTGATCTGAAAGTCTGTAGGTAGGACCTTTAGATCCCCAGCAAAGTCAATGAATGAAGCATACGATTACAGACACAGCTCTGCTACAATATTGTTTAAACAACAGTTATTACAGTTGTCTCTAATATTATAGTGCTGTCTGTGTTTTATGTTTCGCATGGCTAGATTCTTAAATGTTTTGGGGACAGGGGTGATATGTTTTGTTTTTATTTAGTTTTCCTCTGAGTATGACGGCATTCTAGAGGTGACTAAGAAATGCCCATTGACATAGCAACGTGTCTGACACAAAAAGGCACTTAAACATGTGTTAACCAAATAAAATTCAAGGTGAGTCTAAAGGACTGTGTATGGATAGACTTAAATGTTGATTGAATACGTGGATTTGCAGCAGGAAGATGCACGATTTAGAACTAAAAGATGGAACTAAGCCTTGGCTTTATAATTCAATCTTTCTCACCCTCAGTTTCCTCATTTGAAATTGGGATAATAAAATCACCTGTAGCAGAAGCTACAGGCTGCCCAGCCCATTCAATGGCTTCCTTCTCTCAAGCTAGCAGGCCCCCAATTCTGTGCAGGTGTCCACTGAACCCCACCGAACTCTGGAGGAGATCCTGACCCATCACCCACCCTGGGGATAGCTTGGGAGGCATGTGACTGAGTTTTGGCCAATGAGGTACTGGGGATTCGGGGCTCTACTAAAGGCCTCTGGGAAGTTTACCCTGGTTCTTAAAAATAGATGCAAGGAAAAATGTCTCTTTTTCTGTCAGATTAATTGAGACCGAACATGAGTGCTTCTGATTTGTAAATATCCGCATTAGCTGTTTTTAGTGTACCTTCTGTTTTTAAAGATTGTAGTATTTCAATTAATCTATGTATATGGGCAGGTTGAGAATTTCAATTTGCAATTACTGACTGCTGATTCTGAACTTAACTACTACACTTAATTAAACAAGTAGTGTTATACGTATCTGCCTTTCCAGAAACTACTTTACATATGTTGCACTTATCCTTAATATTCTTACATATTTTGTTTAGTATTCTAATTCTCACAGCAATCTCAGAAATTAGTCAGCAAATATTTCTGGTCTCTATGGAGAAAAAGAGAAGGGAAGTCTTACACAGAGTGACAGAGGAATTAATAAATGTGATTGATGTTTCTGTACACTATTTTTTAGACAAGTGCTCTAGCCAACACTTCATACTTTCTGTTTGGACGGTCTAAATGTATGCACCTAGAAAAAGGCCCAGAGCTGCAGTTCTTGAGGAGCGAGCCAGGGCTTGGAGTTCCAGCCCGTCCAGGGAAAGAGCACAGATTCCTCCTCCGCTTACCTTTCGTTTCACAGATCATCACGTTACTAAAGTCGCTTTCTCCTCCTTGGTTGAAGCACTGCATTTTAATATCATAGGATGTTTCTGGCTGCAGGTGCCCAATCATGTGCCATTGCTTTGAACCTAGAGGGGGAAAGAAAAGATAAGCTTCACATATCATGCAACCTCAATGGTATCGTCAATATAATGACTTAATAATTTCAAAATGAGGTTGGAGCCATATCCATTACCAGAGAGTCAGTTTGTTTAATAGAAGTGTGCTTAATGCAAGTACTTTAGTAAGGCACCACAGATAAATCGCATTTCTATTACATGGCATGAAAACGATGATAAAGAGGTAAACTGAATTCAAGCTATACCTGTGTGTTGGTAGTAAAACTTTGTTTCATTACAAATAATTATTGGTGAGCCTTTTGCAAAATATGTATTAATTTTTTACACAGGTAAAAAAACAAACCCTCAAGTACTTTGAGCCTCCGTTTCAGCCCAAGTCAACTCACTCTGTCCACCCACCAGGAAGCCATGCTATATGCGGGGTCAGCAAATGGTGCTTTTCCCAGAACGTGTGACCATTTACAAGACAGGCCTTAGCCAAAGTCTCCATTCCACTATAACAAACGCGACATGAACTGACATATAAACAAATGCCTGAATAAGTGGTTGAGAATAATCAAAAAGCAAAACCCACTGCGGGAAACTTGGCTACTGCTCCCACTACTGCTTTTCTCTTGGGTCAGGGCCTCCAAACCGCACGAGGGCCTCCAACAGACGACCCTGTTATGCCGGGCACAAGGCCAGCGTTTCATTTCGCAGCGCTCCTCAACTGAACGCACCCGTGTAAATCACCCTCCATTTTTACTTCTATGGAGCTGTGACCAACTCCAATAAACGGGATACTTCTGCCAAATTTAATTAACTCCTCAAGCACCTTTAATCCCTCTTGGAAAATACCTCTTCAAACTGTTTCCACTATTTCTCAGAAACTCAACTGTACCACCAACTGATTTAAGAATTAATTAAAGGGACAGGGAAAGGAAAAAAAAACCCCGCATTTACAGGTCAGATATATTTGGCTGACGGAACTGATAGCATCTGGCTCCTTTCCAATTCAACACAGACACACACGTTTTTCTATCTGGAGACACAGCCCCTTCCCTGGGCCACTGACGTAAAACCCCTCCCTCATGAAGACCCATATTTTATACGATGAAGAACCTGTTTGTTTTAGGATCAAGGGGACTCTGAAAGGTCAATAACTAAGGAAATCTATGCCCCATTAATAAATGTAAAGAGAACCTTAAAAGAAACTTGACTCAAAAATCAGGTTGCAACTAGAACAGATCCATTTCTAAATTCCAAAATCTTTCTTAAAAACTTCTATTTTTTTCTCTACCCATAGGTCCTGCCTAGCCCAGCCCTACACTCACCTAACTATAAACTCTCTCGAATATTTACGACACTAAATTTACAGTTTTCCTTTCATACAAGTAGTAAAAATGGAATTATACTGAGCTTCTGATTTGTTACTAATAAGAGAAAAGTTTAATGGATTAATGTTCCATTGCATTATTATGTTGAAAATCAACAGGCAATTTTTTCCCTCAAAGGACATTTTACAAAAAGGTGAAAATCCAAACACACAGACTTAAAGATCAAATGACTGATTACTCTGATTTATTTGGAACTCAACTTCACTTTATAAGATAAAAATACCCAGAAAGAAAGCATTGGTATGCAAGAAACATTTACAGTTCATTTAAATGTGGAACCTAATTCAGAAATAGGATAACTTAATATAATTGTCCTCTTACTATATTCTTTAACAATGTGAGTTTCACATTTTTTTTAAAGCTTAAACAATTTTGAGCCAATATACATACGTAATCTAAAACTTTACTTTAAAGAGAGCTTTACGTTCAAAGGATAAACACTTTTGTTCCTTGGTTTGGGAGAACAGGCCAATAGTTGCTAACTGCCGCAAAAAGAATTTCAAATGCATAAACTTGAAAATAAGAAATAAGCAAATTACACAGCACAGTGAAGCCCACTTAAACATCTGACCGCTCCATCTATTACGTTTATAAACAAGTTCTCGGTGAACCATGAGGCTAAACTCACATTCGCAGACTCTACTACTGGGTACAAAAGCTCCTTTGAAGTAAATTCTCAGTTCCACACTCAATATTCACATCATACAAGCACGTAAAAATTCACAGATGTAATGACAGAATATAGTTTAAGCTCATTCACTGGTGGGTCTAGAGAGAACCAGGAAGGGTGGGGAGACAGTGAGAGACAGAAAGAGAGAGACACACAGAGACCAAGAGACAGAGAGAGGGGTGTTCATTTTATTTACATTTGCCTTGTTTAAAGCTATTCTATAATAAATGTTTAACCTTTGTCACAAGATTTTAAAAATAAAAACCTGACAGCCCCACTCTCCTCACGCAGCTAAACTAAAACGAAGACCTCGCTAGGACTAAAATGCAGAATTAACAATGCTTTCCGTTTCTTTTTTTAAATAGCTTTTTTATGAAGTCAAATATGTATAAGGAAAAGGGCCCACAACCGCACCGCTAACCGAAGGGTCACGACCGAAGGTGCTGCCCGTACGCGGCGGAGCGGGGAGTGTCACCAGCGCCCACGGCCCTCGCGGCTCACTCCGGGCCCTGCTCACTCCGGGCCCTGCTCACTCCGGGCAGCTCCCACGTGGGCTTCACAGGTTGTTTTGCTACCAACAATTACCTTTCTACATTTCCCCAATTCTGTATGCTTAAAGCAAATTTTAGGGACTGATTTCTATTTTTTCAGATAAAGAAAAGAGAAGCAAGTTCATTCAACAAGTATTTACTGAGCACCTACTACGTGCCAGGTATTAAAACTCCAATGATACGTTTTTCACTCTATGACAAAGCCATTCCATTGGATTAACCACTAAGAAATACACCACAATATTTAAAGAAATGTGATATGTATAGCATATTTCAAGTAATTTATTGTAAGACTACTTATAACAAAAGCTACATGCAGTATTAGATGTCAAGGAGGCAAATGAAAATCAGCTTGGCCTAGCGCAACTTTCTGACTTGGTCCATTAGGACATTAAGATTTCAGAGAATCACAATCTTGGAGTGAAAAAAAAACCTTGAAAGAAGACTCCCCCCAAAGCAAGAATCCCTTCCAAGATATTACTGAGAGCGCTTCCAAAACTAGGGGGGTTACTATTTTATGAGAGAACCTGTGTCAGAAATGCTGTTAGACTATTCTTCCTTTATACTCTTTCCTTTTAACTGCCTCTCCCGCAAATGACTGCGGTCCTCCTCCACCTAACAGTCTTTAAATGTCTGAAGACAGCTATCACCTAGCTTGTTAGTCATCTTTCTTTCAGACTGATCATCCCAGATAGTCCAGTGTTTCTTTTGAATTCATTCATTCATTCATTTAATACTAAACACTTCACCATTGTTTGGACAGGGGATACAGCATTGGGAAAAAAGGCCCCTTACCCACAGGTGGCTAACATTTAGTAGGGGACAAACTTTAAGCAAGTAATTTCACATACACACGCACGCACGCACGCACGCACGCACGCACACACCTATGATAAATTCCTATGAAATATACAGGGTGTGATTAGAAAGTATGTGGGAGGAGGGCATCTGAGGAAGAACTATCCGAGCACACAACAGAGGGAAGCGGAGTACCGAGATAAGGCCTCGGGGGAGGAGCGGGGGTGGCCACGTGCCAAGGTCCTGCAGAAAGAAAGCTCTTGGTGCAACACAAGGAGACTGAAAGGCTGAGTGTGACAGGAGACAGAGCCAGAAAGGAAGAGGTGCGGGAGACATGGCTGTGGCTGGGAACAGGGGCTGGCCAGACGACATGGTGCCTTCAGACCATACGCAAAGTTCTGAATTATACTGTAAATGTGTAGAAAGGCAGTTCTGATACCCTTCACCATCATGGTTGTTTTTTTCTCTACATACATTCCAATGTCCCAGCATCTCTCTAAAAGTGGGTAACATGCTCAAAATGTGATCTTTCTGGTAGAAACTTCAATGGAACTGTAGACTGAGACATTACTTTTTAAAATACAACTAGAAGTTGCAGTTGATTTTTATACACAGGTTACCATTCATTGAAACAAAAGAGAAAACAAATTATTTTCAGATGAACTACTGACAAATCATATCTCCCCCATACTTTTACAGCTGATAATTATTACAACCAAAATGTAAGCTACTATATATTAAGTTGAAAAAATTATCTTTTTTTAGAAAGTATTAAAAGTAATAGCACATATACCATTTTATTTTTATTGTACATTAACCTAAGATAATGTTTTCCATAATATTTATAAACCCTCTCCCTCCAAAACTCCTTTATGGGGACCCCTGCTTGCCGATGGGTCTCACCTTCGACAATATCCCTCTTGTAATCACTGTCGTTGTCGCTATCTGTCGGCCGGTAATAAATATAAAATCCTTGAATGGGGGTGTCATTGTTAATCGATGGGATGTACTAAAAAAATAGAAGCAAAAACTTGTCAAAGACAAAAATAAATTTATCTTTCAAATCCATTCAGGTTTATTTATCTGTGTGATAGAATTTCTCTAGATTCATTTCTCAAACACCCTTGATGGCCATTTCAAATTTAACTCAAGGGTATTAAAAGGTATTAAAAGCATTTAGCTGACTGCAGGGCTAATCAAAAACAAAGCAATATATTTCACAAGGTTCAAAAGCACAAAAGTACATTTGGTTCAAAAATCAATAAACTATGAGATGGCAATTAATTTAACATTTGGAGGAGAGCTAAGGTACAATACTTTTATTTTTAACCCTGCCCTGTTTATATCTGTGCCCTTCAATTTCCTCACTTAAAAGTTCAAAAATTCGCTGTTCAATGGATCACGTCACAGGAGCATGACATTGTTAACAAGGCCAAACCAGAAAACCCGGTCTGCGAAGACATTCAGTAGCGAAGATGTTTCCCTCACCGTCCACTTGAGCATGATCTGCGTGTCACTGACGGCTTCCGTGTGCACGATGTGAGGGCCGGCCACCGGGCGGGTCGAGTAACGGCTGGGGAACCCAGCCACCTGATAAGGGCGAGATGCCGAACTCCGAAAACTCTCACCGTAATGGTTGATAGCTATGACTCTAAATTTGTATGTAGAACCTTTTGAGGAGAGAAAAACACCGAGAATTTTTAAAAAGCTATGGCGAGACAACTAAAGGTACAATGCTCAGAATATGACAATTGTGCTACAACAATAAGATACTCTAAATACATGCTAAATAGAGGTCAACCCACTTGCCAGCTTCTACGAACTGGTTGTAGTTGCTCAATACATGGCGCTCAAAATTCTGAGATCTAAATAGCATGAGAGATTAATGATGTCTGTCCGGGAAGGGGGTGGGCAGAGAACAGGAAAGAGCATATTTGCTCCTTTCATCATCCGGTTCCAAACTCACACCCTTCAAACATAGTATTCGTGGAGGGACCTGTGCTCAAAACCAGGCTCTTTTCCTTTTGAAAGAAACAACTGAAGTTTAACATGGTGAATACATTTATAAAGAAGTGCCGTGAAGCTTACGTTACTCTGCTAGAAACATTTACAGTTCATCTAAATGTGGAACTTAATTCACATTTAGAACTCTTTTAATTAGAAGAAAAATAAAACTATAAATAATAAAATGGCAATAAATACGTATTGATCAACAATTGCTTTTAACATAAATGGATTAAATACTCCAATCGAAAGACACAGGGTGGCTGAATGGTTAAGAAAACAAGACCCCTACACATATGCTGTCTACAAGGGACTCACTCCAGATCGAATGACACCCACAGACTACAAGTAAAGGAATGAAAAAAGGTATTTCATGAAAACAGAAACAAACAAAAATCTGGAGTAGCAATACTTATACCAGACAAAACAGACTTTAAAACAAAGACTATAGCAAGAGACAAAAAAAGAACAGAGCAACTCCACTTCTGGGTATTTATCCAAAGAAAGCCAGAACATTAAATCAAAGGGCATAGGCACCCATATGTTCACTGCAGTGTTATACAATAGCCAAGGTATGGAAGCAGCCTGAGTGCCCGGCAAGAGGTGAATGGATGAAGAAGTGGTGCATGCAGACAAGGGCACGTGACTCAGCCGTAAAAAAGAACGAAATCGTGCCACTTGAAACAACATGGATGGACCTAGTTGGTACTGTGCTGAGTGAAATAAAGCAGAGAAAGACAAAACCCCTAGGCTTTCATTTATATGTGGAATCTAAAAAACAAAATAAGTGAAAACAAGAGGAATAGAAACAGACTCATTACACAGACAACATTTTGGCAGTTGCCACTTGGGATGAGGACGGGGGTTAGGTGAAAAAGGTGAAGGGATTAAGAAGTACCAACTGGAAGTCACAGAATAGCCCTGGGGATGTAAAATACAGCATAGGGAATATAGTCAATAATATTGCAATCATTGTGTACGGTGTCCGATGGGTACTAGATTTATCAGGATGATCACTTTGTAAGCTACATAAATATCTAATCACTGGGTTTTACACCCTAAATTAGTATAATATTGTATGTCAACTGTAACTGAAAACTAAAACATTATTTTTTTAAAAACTTGCCACCTTCTCCCAACTATACCTACACCATGTTCCTAGGTTTTTATGTTGCCTGTTTAGACAAACACAGGCATTTGCTCCTGAGGTACACATAAAAGCCCATACCCAAAACTGGTCGTGAAACCTAAACAGGTAAAAGAACACGTATTTGTCTGTTTGACAGTTTAATTTTTTCACATAGCCTCAAGATATGGGAGGCAGGGAGCGTTCCTCTGCTGGAACAAAAGTTACAGAACAAAGGGTTCGGTGCGGCCTCACTTCCACGAGGATAAGCACCAAGTAAAACTATGCTGAGACGGTCATCCGTTCACACAGCTGCCGTCAGGGGACAGCCCTCCTCTCTGCATGTTCCTTCATACCAAATCACAGGCACACATGCAGAGATGCCACCATAACACTGTTTCTACTCATTTGCAGTTAGAAATCATCTAAAACCCGGAAATACAAAATGGGTTAAATGAATTATGGTATACTTACATGGCAGATACACAGATATTAAAAGTTGAGTTTTTAAAGAATTTTTAATGATATTGAAAGATGCCTAGGATATAATATGGGGAAAATGGAGTCACAAAGCTATGTTTATGGCATGATCCCAGTTTGTATTAAAAAGAGAAAAAGAGGTATACAGAAATGTAAACAGTGGTTATATCTGGATAGAGGGGGTTCAGCTGACTTGTTCTCTTCTTTCTATTTTCTTTATTTTCAAATTTTTATGCAATAAGCTCCCATTATTTTAACAACTAAAACTATATGCTTATTAAAAATATGCATGAAAGTCAGCATTGATGGTTAAGAAAGGAAATGTTTGAATATTACTACCTGGCTCTAAACTACGAACTTCCACAGAGAGTCTGGAAGGAGGGATGTCTTCAGCTGCCACCAGCCAATCACTAGTCCCCATCCGTTTGTACTCGACCTTGAAGGCAGTGATGGGAGAACCCCCATTGGCCCGAGGGATCCAAGTCACGTAGACGGACGTCTCTGATGCGGTGGAGATGGTAGGCCGATCGGGGGCCTCTGGAACTAAAAGTGGAAACATTCACTTCAATAACCCGCGGTGTCAGAAACAAGAATAACTCAAACTGAAAAAGGACAAGTGTCAAACGTCATCAAAGGTTCTTCAAACTTTGCCAGAGTTAACAATGTGACTGTCTTCCTGTCCTCTGTTAAAAGGCAATGAAATAGACAAATACAGGAAATAAAAGGAAGGAAAGGAAAAATAACCTATGAACTTGACAATTGTCTCTGAAAAACCGGATGTTAATGAGTATGATCATTGTGACGACGCTAATTTGGATCTGTGGCTAAAACATTGTACAAGTAATTACTATTGGGTGCTTCAAGTCTGATGTTGGTTATAATTTATAGTACATACTCGGAATTATGTGTTATCTCATTTAAATGTTTTCTTTATCCATCCAAGCTACACAAAACACCTTCATCAAACAATCTACAGATTATTATATTAGCTGTTACTATCCCTCAAGGCTACAGGACTGCTACTCCCAAAACAGGCTGTAAGCAGTAAACATAGAATTTGACTGATAAAATCAATACTGGCAATACTGGAAAGAGGGAATGCTGCTCAGGATAAAAGCAGGAAGACAGGACAAGTGTAGTGGAAGAAAAGGGCTGTGAGAAAATAGGGGATCTACATGAACGTGTAGGAAAAGGGGGTCGGAGAGCTAACCTAGCAGTTTTTGGTTCAAACTGAAAAGGGGAGGGAGGTCCTAACCCACCGATCAGACCATCTGATGCTGTGGCAACACCAGCCATTTAACCCCTGCGCCTAACTCTTCTTGCTGACCGAGCGATTGTGTGGTCCTAACTGGCTTCCCACTTCGTTCCTACAAGCAAAGAATGCTGCTCGATACAACCTGGTCTGTGTGACATTTGTGTCACAAATTAGTATACTGCCACTCAGCTGTGATTTTTGTAAAAGTGAGCCAGTTCTCGAGAGACCGGCTCTCCTCCGGCGTGCTGAGAGTCAGCTTTCCAGAGCTGGGACAGGACGGGCCCCTCTGGCCCTGGTTTTGTTCCTTAGGTGAAGTCACCAGGCAGCCCTGTCTCTGCTTGGCCCATGCCACACTCCTCAAGCAGCACCCTCTGTCTCAACACCTCTCCAAGCCATATACATACACAGAAGGACAAAATAATGCTGCATATGGTACTTGTACGGAGAAAATGGTGGCATTTTAGAAACAAATTGCTTAATGGACAAAAAGAGGAATATAGTCAAAGCAGGCAACTTTTAGTGATACTTACTGTAGTCCTTTCAAGTTAGAAGGCAATGGAAACAGAACGAACAAAACTTGTTAGTAATTCTCTTTAAATACTACATAACCAAACAACTTCCCTCTGCTGATATATACGGGGTTAAAACTCATCAAAGAACACCGCAGTTTGAGTAGAAAAAGAAAGTTATTATGCGGGAAAAAAAAAAATCTCGACAGACAAGAATATCTTCAATATCTGAAAGAAATAGCACGTGACAGTTAAAGGTGAAAAGGAAGAACGCCACACTGGGGGCTAAAAATCCTGCACTTGAGGAGCAGTTCTTCCTGTTCCGGATGATCTCAGACAGGCTGCAAAAACCGCCTCGACTCTCAGCTTCTTACTGCGTGAAACAGATACACGGCCTCCTTCCTAAGGGTGTGGCTGACGATTACATAAATCACGTCTTACGGTTATCTCCGCTTGGATAACTCCAAGCTCATGATTTCCACCACTGAATCCATAATCTCCTCCTGAAAATTCTTATCACCCATCTTGGTAAATGGGCCCCAGTTGCCCAGCCCAAGCATCGTACTCCCCCCGCCCCCCGGCCCCCATTCAATGTGGACTCAGTGCCTCCATCTGTCATCTTGGTCTGTGTCCTCTATGTCCTCCTTCTCCATCGCCACTGTCACGACCCTCATTATTTCTCCAGCCTCATCGTTAGCCGTTCCGCCCCTCTCCCTCTTTAAAATCCCTCAGGGTTCTCTATAGCTTTCAGGGAAAGATTAAGTTTTTAAGTAAATTACACAAGGCACCCCCCCCTCTCCCCTACTCTAGCATCATTCCCCACTGCAACCAGCCACACCCATAAAATCTCCGACCTCTAATCTCTGAAGGAAAGAGAACACGTCATTCATCTGTCTCTCTGCACAAAGAGCTGCCTTTGCTTAGAGCCTCTTTTTCCGTCTCTGCGTCAGCTACAATACAGCATTGTCTTTGAGGCTCAGCTCAGGGGGGCTTTCTAAGGCATGGCCTCCTCTCTAGCAAATGGGTGATTCCGATAGTTCTCTTGTGAGCTGAAAATACCGAGCGCAGAATCTCAAGACACCATGAATCAAGATGATCATTGTTAGGAGTTAATCTGTCCACGTTACCCACTACATTGCTATTGGCTTAGTTATCGATATCGTCCTGTAAACTTCTTGTTGGCAAAATTGATTTTATTTCTGCTGCTCCAGACACTATAACTGCAGAATTGATAAACTGTGACATTTAAATACTAAAAAGAGATCTTTTGAAGATTTTACTGCTACAGTATTTAAAAACCATAAGATTGGCAAGATAGAGCAATGAAACTGAGTGTGACCTATAACCATTCAATTAAAAAAACCTGATTAAATCTTACTAAAGGTACCACCATATATTTTGATAAGTCATCAAAAAAAAAAAGGCAGACTTTCAGAGTTCAAAATATAAATTTGGTCTCCTTGCTTAGAGGGGAGGTAGAAAACTCCTTTTTGTGAGTTATAAAGACTTAGTACCAGATGTTTTGAATCTGAGTGTATTACCTTAAATACCAATCATGAGACTGGGTTGCCAAGACTTGAATACTACAGGACATTTAAGAAAAGGGCTGGAACAGGGCCTAGAAGAGCCACATGGCAGAATGTAACCTGAATGATAAACACCCCATCCCACAGAGGCCCCCAAAGAATCTGAAACAGGTCAGCCACATTGGCAGACAAAGAGAATGAAGCACATGCAGACTCCCCTCCTCACCTCCGCTGTGCCTCGAGGGGTCTGTCAGGACCACCCCAAAATGCTCCGCTGCCTCCGACACCGCCGGGCGTTTGGGGACGCCCATAGGCGGGGAGGACGCCTGGGCGCTTTTCGATGAGGCCGTTTTCTCTAGAAAGGTTAAAAAACATACCGTAAGCTTCTGTGTGCATGTGAAGTAAGAAAAGATACCATGAAATTCAACTGGCACACAGAGGTAGACATATGAACTTAGCTGTTACAGGGTCTAAATTAAAGACTTACATGGTAAATAACTTAGCTACTCTGAGGCATTGGCTTTAAAAATTATTTATCTTTTTCTAGTGCCCTAAAAGGAAAACTAAAATGTGTCTTTCTTCATAGGCTAACTTTAATTTACACATAGAAAAATCAACATAGGAAAAAGTCAAATGACTAGGGTAAAGGTTTTCAAATATTTGTCCTTTTTTTCTTTTTACTGTACCTATTTCTTATTTCTAAAACATAAAAGCTCATTATGAAAGGGCTTCTGTTTAGTTTCTTCACAGGAGAATTAAGTCATGTTAAGTTTTAGTTTCAAGAGGCAAATAGTGAAATTGGATGATTATTTTAAAACTGAAATACATAATGATTCGATATTTATAGGTTAGCCTCTATAAACAACTAAGAATTCATTATAAAAATTAACCCAAAATATATTTCAAATAAGATATACACATTGCTTTCCTGGCCAGTCTCAGTAATTAGATGAAAGGGCCTTTTTCAAAAGCCAACTGACAATGTCTTCTCGATCCTCATACCCCCTGTTGTCACGGTTCCAGGATGAAACGCTCTCCGCCTGATCCCCGTCTCCGCTCCCTGAGGCCTTCTTCTTGATCACCTCCGGCCCAGCTGCGAGGGCATCTTCCCATCAAGCCTACCCACCGAAAGGCCACCCCCTCCCTGCGCCCCACGGGCCTTTTCTCTGTAGTCTCTCCTAGTTCCGATCACTGCCGGCCTCTGCCTTCCCCCGGCCTCCCTCGTGCCCTGCAGCCTGAAATGTCTGTTGAAACACACAGCAGATTGTGTCCATGACTCTGCTCAAGTTCCTGCGACGCTTCCAGCTCACTCAGTCAGTGTCGACAAGGTGCCGTGTGACCCGGCCACTCTGTCACCTCCCTGAGTGTTCTCCTCACTTACTTTGCTTCTGTCACAACGGCCCCTTCAGTGTTTCAAGGGTACGCCAAGCGCCGCTGACCCCAGGGCCTTTGCATTTGCTTTTCTCGCTGCTGGGACGTTCTTTCCCGAGATGGCCACGTGGCTTTCCTCTTTGCCTCCTTGTCGCTCTGCTCTGCTGTGGGCCGCTCACTGGAGACTTCTCCAGCTACCCCCCTAGACTGTGACAACCGCTATGCCATGCACTTCCTATATCCATCCCCTAACTTATTTTTCTTATTGACATTCACCCCCTTCTAATATACTGACAACTTAGGTATGCGTCTCCCCCAACAAGAATGTAAGCTCCATGAGGACAAGGAGTTTCGTCTGTTTTGTTTAGTGCCACGCAGGCACATAGAAGGCATTCTGTAAATGGGAGCTGAACTGAAATTTGCCTTGCAGTTGGTATTCATGCACACGTCTCACCTTTCTTAGCAAAGCAGAAGCTCCACGAGGATTGGATGTTGTCTTGATCATCTTCGTTCTCCCTGCATCACCCACCCTAAGGCCTTATATACCATGAGCTCTCAAAAATATCTGTGGAGTATTGGGTGGAACGGAGTAACAGCCATCCGACGTGGCCCAGAAAGGTACCATAATAGGCTTACTTAATGAATTTATACGTAACAATCTCTGCTCCCCAAAAGGATACTTACTAATGGAGGGACACCAAGACAGCCAGCTCACGTCCTCTTAGGGAGGGTGGCACTCACCTTTGCTGGTTCGGAAGGTGAGCATGGCAGGCTGCCCTTCCCCAGCTGGGCTCCGCGCCACCATCAGCACTTCATAGAGGCTGGACGGCTCCAGCTCCGTCAGGCGGAGCTCATTCTCGCTTCCCGGGACCCGCACCGTGTGCCAGCTCCCCACCGCGCCCACGCTGTCGTCCAGCTGCTCAGGAGAGAACAGGCCATTGGCCGAAAGGAGATGAAAGGTGGAAAACGCCTCCATTCAAATTTGATAAAAAATGGAAGTCATTCGATTCCAGCTGAATTTTGGGAAGTGATGTACCATTTTAAATAGGAGACACGCGATATTTCTTCATAGGAAGAGATGGAAGGAGACCTGCAGCAAGAACTCAGGAATTCTTACGGTGAAGACTCCTGGCTCTGCTTCTTGCCACTGACTTATGGCCTCAAGCAAGTTATTTCGTCTCCCAGGATTTGTTCTCTTTATTTGTAATGGAAACAATACTCCTTTCTTAATGGGAGAATAAAAGTATATAATAATATGTATTAACGACATTATATAATGTACATAATAAATTAGAATATGTTTATGTATATATGGGTTATATAATTATATATTTCTAGCATTCTTGCTTCATGTCTTCACACTGTTCAATACGTGTTGCATGACTTAAATTCAAAAGAGATCCAATCCATTGTGTCTCTGTTAATGGAACCAAGAGACAACAGTATATGGAAGTTTTCATGTGGCTAAGAATACCAATGAAACTTCCTTCATCTAAAATCGTCAGGTTAGAAACGGTAAATAAATTTCCAAATCTCATGATGTTGGTTTTTCCAGATATTAAAAATATTACTATTAAATGATGGATACCAAAATGTCTTGAACAAAGGAAATTGTTTTTAAATATGAGGGCATCTCTTCCCATTTCATCATCTGCTAGTCTCATCAAACAGAAGGGACTTTTTCATTTTGCTTTAATACAAGCCTCTGGAGGGAAAAACATCTGAAAAAGCAACTGTTTATCATAATAAATAACCCCAAAATATAAGATTCTAAGACGACTGAGAGGATAACTTGAAATGCAAGCATTGTCAGAGATTTTACCAGAGGACTTTGTTCAAAAAGTTGTTTTCAGTAAGAAAATGCCTTATTTGGTAAATAAACTGTGCAGCACTACTATGTTAGAGAGGGGGGAACAACTCTTTTGAAGTAGTTTATACAGCTTTATACCCAAGGGGTTAAAGCGTCTGATACAAAAGTGCTGAGAAGTTACCAGGTTCTTAGCACCCCAGTTTGGGGGGAAATTGTTTGTATTTAATTCTAAGTATTTTTATAAGCTGGTAAATCCAGCTGGGATATTCCTCCCAAACTCACCCTCCTGGAACATCTTGTTCTCTTTCCTGCCATTCTCCAGAGGTAAAAGAGAATAAGTATATGCTATACACTGTTCGGGGGTGAGAGAAGGTGATAAAGAAAAGACATTACCTTTCGATACTTCACAAAATAGGCATTGATGGGCAGCCCGCCGTCCCTCCCCGCCCTCCAGACCAGGCTGTAGGTGTCTGGTGTCGGGGTCTGCGGAGGGCTCAGGATGATGGGGGCGTCGGGCACTGAGGCTCCGCTAGCGTTTTTCTCTGACTGTGACTGCCCCGCACTGGAAGGTTCCTTCGCTGGAAACGGGCTCAATAATCCGGTCTCGGAACCATCGCTTTTAGCACTCTGGGTGGCTTCAGGAGATGCGACTATTCCTGATTTTGTATTTGTTTCAAAAGGAACTGCAGAGAAAGGGGGGTGGCGGGGAGAGAGAGAGGGGAGACAGCTTGAAGAAACGTGTTGCTTCAGTGTCTTCTATACAGTGACCTGCCTGCCCACACGGATATAATTTGAGCCCCAGAAGTGAGAGCAGGTAGCATTTCAATGTGTGATTCACGGGAACATCTAACCGCTGCTTGCAACCTCCTGTTCATGAAGGAGCAAATTAACTGTAAAAAAAATCAACTACACGATGCAGTAGCTTAGTGGTTGAAAGGAGGCTATTTCTTCCTTGCTCTACATGAGCATTTCCCCTCTTTCGCCACAACCTGCCAGCTCAGCCTCAGAAGATTTTAGGTGGAGAACATGGAGCTTTAACTCTAGTTGGCACATGAAACACAAGGAGCTGCATTCCCGTGGGAACAAGGCAACGGTCAGGTGTTAGGCTACGACCTACCGGGCGCCAGACTCCAGGGACGCCTCCCATTACGCACTCCCCTGGGCAGCGCCGCCCCCGCGCCGCCGCTCCCCCGCTCCCCATGCTGAGTGCGGGCTGGCCCTGTGACTGGCTTTAACCAAGGGAAGGGCCAGGGGAGGCTGTGCTCTCTCCCAGGCATGAGCATGAAGAAGCCTGGCACTTCTAGTTTTGTGCTGCCACGTATAGATGTCCCAGCCAGCCATGCCGAGACTAGCTACATGGACAGAGGCAGAGAGGAGTTGCGGATGGTTCCGGTCCTCACAAAGGTGCCACACGGGGGAGTGGAGCCGCTTTCAATGTCCCAGCCCCAGTGCCATCTGATTACAACGGTGTGAGGGACCCCAAGTATGGCCGGCACAGCGCCCAGCTGCGCCTGGAGAACCCACAGAATCTGGAGAGACCATAAAGCAGCTGCTGCTCTATGTCCTTAATCTCTGGGGGCAGTTACTCAGCAACAGATAACTAAAGTACTCATCATCCACGCGGAAAACAATCTCCACTCAAGAAGAGGGAAGGCGTGAGACAAAACGAGCAGAGAAAAAGGAATTTACTTATTTCCAAACATGCCCTGTACCTGGACAAAACTGAAGGATGTTAAAAAAAAACAAAACAAAAAAACCTGCCAATCTAAAGAGAGAGGAAATGCAGACAGCCTTGATATTTACTACTAGAAGCACACTGAATACACAGAGGCTGGCAACAATAATTTATCTGCACTGAAATAATAGGTTGTGTATATAAAAAATTACTGAGCACATATACACCAAGCATTGTGCCAGGTATTAATCAACATATGATCTCATTTAATTCTCAAAACAACATTCTTGGATAGTAATTCGTACTCCCACTTTCCAGCTGAAGAAATTAGGGTTCTGAGAGATTACGTGGCAACAGCTGGCAGAAGAATGGTAGCGGTGTTCGTGTGCAAAAGTGAGAGAACGATATATGAAAACAGATATATCGCCAACAAGATCAAATATAAGGATTGACAGCCTGGCTTCTCTGAAGCGCCACTGGTACTGACAAAAAAAGGTCTCCTTTTTCAACTACTTTCGTGGGGGAAAGGAGCACAGGAAACAACGTTAGTTTCTTTTCCACAATGAAATCAGATTTCTGGTAAAAGGAGGGTGTGTGTTTAGGAGAACTCCTGCAGTTTAGTAGAAAACCAGCAAAAACAAAACAAAACAAAAAAAAAAACCAACAACAAAAACCAGGACTAACAGTGTAAGGTCAGTTCTCTGTTTTTTTAAAAGAGAGAAAAGGTGTCCCAGAAGCATCCTCCATCAAAGAAAACAAGAAGCTAGTGGGAAAATAATATAGAAAACTCATGAAGTTCACTGAGACTTCAAAATATTGCTCCTGGAGCAGCCCTGTTTATCTAGTGAGTCAGAAGGCGGGGGCTGATGTCGGGGGTGGGTGCTGGGGCCTGATGGGGAGGACTCGAGCAGGCGGGGGGGGGCGGGGGGGCGGCTGGCCATGCCTCAGGGGAGTGGAGAAGTGCCTTCTGCTTACAGCAGTTACGGGTCCTCGGGGCAGCTTGCTACGGGGGAGCGGTGTTTGGCTGTACGAGAGTTTAAATACCACGTGCCTCAGCTTACGCAGAGGCACGAGAAAAACTGCACGCCACAGCCATGCCTCAAAATTCTACTTCTGTTATTTAGGAGGCAGTGAGACTTTTCCATAGCTTTTTTTTAATAAAATGGGATTAATACTTACTATTCCCAATAATAAAAGGTCAGCACTCACGAGATACTAGATACAACTAAGGCCTTAATAAAAATTTTTTCACATACATTATTCCAATTTATCTTCAAAACAATCCTGTGACATGGTAAGAATGTCCAGCATTTTGTACGGTAGGATTTTTTTTTGAATGGGAACAGAGGTTGCTAAAACCCTTGTTTTCTAAATACTTTAACTACGGCAATGAATTTAATGACTCTAAGCTGGGACTAACCAAACAGGGACTCTGACCATACGCGTCGGAGGAGTTCCCACTGTGACTGCTCACACCAGCAGCCCCCGCCCAAAACAATTTAGGAAACCCGGGCCACTCCCACAATAATTTCAGAGAGTTACAACGCGCTCCACGAATACTTGCACATCCAGTACCTCGAAACCCAAGGTCTCTGGAAAGAAAAGGAAAAACAGGGGTGGGGGACAGTGGTCATCTCTGACTTTGTCTACCTCCCTCTTCTCAATACACAAGGAAGCGGCCGTCAGTACAGTGGAATTTAACAAGGCTCAGATTCCTGGGGAAAGAAGCGGATGCTCGTGTGCTGTTGTGAGCATTAATAAGCTCAGCTGGATCCTAATTAGTTATTAGACAGCGTGTAAAAGAGGTGATGCAGGACCAGGTAGGTAGGGTGTAGGTGATGGGTATTTAACGAGACATAAAACGTCTTGTATTTAACAAGACATAAAATCCTGAAAGGGGGATCTTAAAGGTATCAAAGATCTAATCTAAACAAGGTAGTTTACATATCTTCAGAGGGCCTCAGGTCATATTGAAAGTGAGGCATTTAGACAAAATATCTGGTTTCCTCGGCTACGTCTGTGACCTCTACAGCTCCCTCTGCCCTGCATTCTCATGAAAGAATCACTTTGCGAAATGCTCCCCAAACAGCGCCTGCATTACACTTGTCTCACTGCTAAAATCTTATGTAGAGCCGCTCTTACTGTTGCTTAGCAGAACAGATATATAAACACACACCCACATACATATTCATATATATGCATGAACTTATACAACACTCAACTACCTTTTTTTTTTTTAGGATTCCTAAGGTTTCTAAAATCAGTAACTATTTCTCCCTTCCTTAATCATCACATGGGAAATTATAATTTACTTAATACTCAGTATTTATTGAAGGATCTCTGTTGCCAGACGCCATTCTAAGCACGCCACCTGTATGAACTCCTTGAACCCCCACATCAGCCCTGTGAGCGGGCACCTGCCTCCACTATACCTGTCACGCAGAGGAGAAAACACGCACAGACAAGTTCAGTGACTTGCTCTGGGGCACAAGCCCTGGAGAGGCAGAGCCAGGACCCGAACGCAGCCCGTGAGCTTGCACGGCGCACCCTGCCCGCCTCTGGCGTTCTCGTGGAGCCGGTAGCACGGAGTGTGAGTGGGGTCCCCGGCCTTCCCCTCTTCTGCGTCTCCCTCTAGCCTCATCCAGCGCTAGGGGCCTTGCGGGGGTGCAAATGGAAAGACCAGTGCTCACACCCACCCTCTGTCCACTTCGCTGTCACTCCCCTGCGACGGCGCGCCCGTGGCCACTCCTCCGCTGGAGGGTGTCCGCGCTCCGGTGCTGTGGTCCACACGCTGCCGGCTGGACCGGGGAAAAGACCTGCGTGCGATCGATCGGACCGCACACTAACTGCAGCAGGGGAATCTGAAGCCTCAGTCCCGCTGTGCGGAAGGAACCCGGGCGCCGGCCTCCGGGCAAGCACAGCCCGTGGCCCCACGGACTCTGACCCGTGGGACCCGCGGACCCAGGCAGGAAGGGCCGCCCGAAGCCCTGGAAAGCAGAGGCCCCGCGCAGGAACCTCGGCTGCCGAGGGGAAGGGCAGCGCCGCCGTATGACACTCTTCCTCTCACACGACCATCTGGCGACAATCCCCACTCATGTGACTACTCGCTGGGAATGCTTCTCTAAGTACCAACACGCGGTCTGAATTTGCATTTAGTCGAATTTGAATTAATGTCAGTAATATTGATATTCTATTACTGGTACTTCAAAAACTATATAATATTTTTAAGTCATCATCACCAAAACAGTGAGTAAAACATAAAGGATTAATATCATACACCTCATTAGAAAAATAACTGAGTAAGACAGGGAAATACACACACAGGTATCGCCTCATGGAGCCACGGCCCTACATTCTTTATGAAAGCCAACCCTTTAGACTGCGGATACTGTACTTATCAAGGGCTCACCTTAAAAATGTCTGTAATAACATTTTCAGTAGCCTAGAAAACCACAAGCATTAATCACAAAAAGAGGTCCATGGGGGTCCAGAATGAATGTCTGTGGTGGGCGGAGTGTTGGCAGCTAACGGCAGCTTTAGCTCCAGGGTCAAGAGAACCTCCTGCCTCCCAACCTTAACTACCTAGAACTTGAATGGGAGGCCTTTCCCGTAAGAGATTATTAGAGATAACTTCTTCTGACCAATGTATAGGGCAGGGCAAACTTCTATTTATTGGGTTGGCCAAAAAGTCTGTTATGTTTTTTTCTGCACAATGGCTCTAGTAGGGCTTTGTTGTCTTTAACTTCATTCGGAACAATTTTTTTAGATTGTATTGCGACAGCTGTCATATCGGCGTGCATTTAATAAAAAACCTATCAAAATTGGTGAATTTTTGTACAGCCATTTAAATACTGAAGATGGAAGAAACTATGCAACATTTTTGGTGTATTAGGCTTTATTACTTCAAGAAAGGTTAAAAGGCAACTGAAATGCAAAAAAAGATTTGTGCAGCGTATGGAGAAGGTGCTGTGACTGACTGAACATGTCAAAAGTGGTTTGCAAAGCTTCTTGGTACTATTGACATTGTGGCCAAATAATTCTTTGCTGTGAGGCTGTCTCGTGCATTGGAAGGTGTTTAGCAGCAGCCCTAGCCTCTCCCCACTAGAAGCCAATAGCGGGAGAGAGCCGACGTATTCCAAACATCCAAACAATAAAGTTATTGGTGAAAATGAAAAACGTGTCTTTTACAGAGAAAAGCATTAACAGACTTTTTGGCCAACCCCATACTAAAGGTATGCTCTTCTTATCATCATGCAATGACTTTGAAGCCCCAAACACCTTACGACATCCGCAGCTCAGGATACCCCTTTCTACCTGTGAGTCTCTCCTGCATGTGGGGTCTCTGCTTCGCTCATGTATGTGGGGTTCCCATACATAGGTATGTATTTAAATTTGGTTATTCTCTCTTGCGAATCTGTCTCATGTCTACTTCATTATCAGACCAGCCAGAAGAACCTCGAGGGGACAGCAAAGTTAGTTCCTCCCCACAGGTCATGCCTTGGGCCTCCCAAGTGTGAGCTTCTATAGGACAACTACAAGCTTAGAAAACACATCGGAAATGAAGACCAAGGTTCGTCCAGTTCACGTTACGGCCGAATACCAAAAACTATAGTTCCACATATCACTGTCCCTGGAGGAAAATCTTTAGAGACTGCTGGATTAAAATAATACTTTGAAGCACTTTATCCCCTACAATCAAAGAAAATTATTTACCTGGGGAAAAACACTAACGGCAACTCACCAACTGTGAGCACGGCCTCAGACCGCGCAGAGCCATGCTCATTCGCAGCTTCGCAGGTGTACTTCCCAGCATGCTCCAGAGACGCGGCCTGGATGTACAGGGAGCTTGAGCCAGCTCGGGACATGACGAAGTAGACAGGCTCCGGGGCAAAGCCCCCAGGTCTTAGTGAGTGTGATTTTCGGGATTTAGATCTGAGGACTTGAGACGGATGGCTGGTTATCAACCCATGCCTGTCGTACCAACGAATGATCGGAACGGGCACTCCAGTGGCATTGCAGGACAAAGCAACGAAGTCTCCATCCGCCACCTGTGTACTTGTTGGTGCTGTGATTATAACCGGCTCGAGTCCACTGCCTGTTAACAAAGTCATTCACACACCAGGAGTTAAGACCTTTAGAGTGTCTACGATGCAATGTAATTTTGTCCTCGTGTGTAAATATTCTTGATGTCGTGCACAAGTAGCAGTCAGAAACATCTTTCATACATGTGTTTCTAAATAAGTGTTTTACATGCGGAACAGCGTGAAGAACATGATCATTCACTGAAATAACACTGTTCGCGACGTCACGCACAAGGAGTGATACAAGGACTAGAGCCAAGCAAACCCCCTCCCTGTCAGTTCTCCTCTCAACTTGCACTGAGTGAAAGTGTCATTAGGATTTTTCATAGTTGTGAACTCCTAGATGTTTCCTACACAGATTTCCTGTCTTTCAGAAAGAAGGGAATGTATATACAGTGTTGAGAGCTTTCCAGTAGGTATCCTACACACATCTGACCACTAGAAATATAGAACATGTGAAGCCAAAACCTCATACTTTAACATGAAAAAGGTGTAAAGTAGGAAAAAACTACATATCTTTTCATGAAAACTGTCTGTTACTGGGGTGGTGGCGGGAAGGGACCTAATTATAAAAAGCCTAGGGGAAAAACCATGTTCTGAGTAAAAGTTGATTAAGATACTTTTTACTATATACACAAAAAGCATTTTGTTTCTAATAGAGGCACCTACTCTTTGCTTTCGGTCCCATGTATTCTCTAGGGCTACTTTTAAGTACGCCTACAATGGGACATCGATGACAAGAGACATTTTCTCCAGCCTGTCTTTCTTTTTCCCTAGTCCTACTTCCTACATTTGACAAACCAACCAATGCTTGGTACTATCAGATGTCTGAATTTTCCCGTACTCTTTATGTGTTAAATGCTATCTCACTAGTCATTAGCTATACTTTCCTGAGTACTAATGACATTGAACATCTTTTCACATGTTTATGTGTCACATAGTTTTCCCTCCTTTGTGAAATGCCTTTTGTCCATTTTTCTACTGTCATTTATCCTTTTGATAACGATTCAGAGTTCTTTGTATATACCAGATACCGTTCATTTGTTAGTTATATATGGTACGAATATCTTGTGTGTGATGTACAAGGACATTCAAAAACACTGATAAAACTCATTAGCTATAGATATCTGGGTGCCTGGGGAACCAGAGTGAGAAACTTTTACCATATACTTAGTCAATATATAGTATATTGAAAAATATTTTTTAATGAGCTTGATTAAATAAGGCTGTTTCTTCATGGAAATGTCTATCTGCATCTAGAAAGGCAAGACCCAGGGAACATGGAGACAGTTCTGTTATGGTGATCGGATCGTTCCCTTTAGTTACATTTTAACTACGATAAAAGCCTGTCTGTAAAGTAAAATTTCCTATAGTTAATTATAGGATCTAAAGACTACCTTTTTCAATTTCAAGTCTCCCAGTAGACTGCATAAATCCAATTCCATTATCCGCTATACACTGATACAGGCCAGAGTCTTCCATGGTAACACCACTGATTTTCAATCCATTGCCTGCAGTTAGATGTCGCGGGGAAGGGCGAATAGGCTGTGCGTTATGAAGCCAGGTGCGGTTGGGGGATGGGTTCCCACGGACCTCACAAGTAAACTGCACTGTGGCCCCGAGAGACACTGTCTGATCCTTCAGTCCTTTAGAAATTGAAGCATGTTCTGAAAACAAAACACAAATTACCACGCGAGTCATATAAAATCTTCTCTTTACCAACAACGAACTAAAACCAAATTGTATTGTTTACTCGCATTCTCCCATCTGCTGTGGTCAAGGAAAAAAAAAATTAGAAATGTATTTTAACTTTCCTTTAATACGACAAACCATATGTTACTAATATGTTATAATCTCTTTTTATAGAACTCTCCGCCCACTTAATTCCCTTAACACACACAAATATACACACACACACAAAGAGTTTCTAATTTGGGGTTTTTCTTAGCATTAGTTTCAGGTGATTTGTTTGAAATAAAGTAATAGTTTCCCTGGATTTCACACTAAACAAGAGCCAGGACAGAAAAAAACACCTTATTCAGAAGTTAAGTTCTTTTTATGGTCAATTCTGCTTTGAGGTTAGGTGGATACTGGGCAAAGACACTTCTGTTAATATCCATCAAGTGATTTTTTTTTTACTTAAACATTAAGTAAACCATTTCTCAACATTTGCAACATGTGCCCAAATTAAATAATTATGCATATTATTGTAGTCCTAATGATCATTCAACTTTAAAGCCCATTTGCCAAACACCTAAATTAATTCCAGTATAACCTACATGAGGCCATTCTTGCAACTAAACACGGGCAGATTTACAAAAACCGTATTAACTAAGAAACCACTTACTAACTATTTTTTCTGGTTTTCATGAAAACCTGTTTTGATAAAGAAAAATGTTTTCTGCCACTACACGTGAGAGTAATATAGGTAGCTGGAAAAATGGAATAGCTTTGACATAAAGAACAGATACAGAAATGAAAGTGAAAATAATGCAAATTTTATGAGCCAGGTAGAGTGAAAACATTCCAAAAGGGAAAATAAAATGAAACAGATTTCTTTTTGATGAGATCGGGCGCATTCAGGGTGGCATGGCCGTAGACAGATTTCTTTTTGAGATGAGGTTTTCTAGTCAGTGCTCTGCCTTAGTTACTACTGCTGGATACTACTGCTGACAACAGCCCAGAATCTTCCATGCTACTGAGTTCCAGTTTCCTACCTCCAGGTCACTGAGAAAAACAAGCCCTGCAGTAAGTTACCAGGGCGGGGTGAGGCTCCCAGGAACATCCCAGGTGGAATGTTCTGCGACACCCAGAAATACTGCCTCATTCAGCAGTCCGCTGGGAAAATGAAGCTACTGTCTACTGGTGTAGATATTTCTTCATAGTCCTTGTTTCATTCGTAGTTCACAAATAGAGCTCCCATTCAAGTATCAGTCAGATCAGAAAAACAGTCTGACTTGAAAACATTTACTGGGTAACATCTTACCAAGTACATTAACCATGTAAGTCACGTGTTTCACGCCTCCAGACTTGCTTCCCACCATACAGGAGTAGTTTCCGGCATCCGCTGGGTCGATGCCGTCTGTGGCGAGATGAGAATACAGCCTCCTCCAACTGCGTCCCACCACGGCGTCCTGACCGTCCTTCAGCCAGTGCACGTGAGAAGTGGGGACCCCACTCACCACACACTCCAGGGTTATGGGACTGCGAGAGAGCACAGCCAATGCTTGCGAAAGCGGGGGGTGGAGAATGTGGAAGTCATCTGAGGAAGGGCCTGAAAAAAGAAAACAAAAAAGTACCGTCACGTCCGATCTCCTCCTTAGCAAATCTATGGGGTTTCCCGTGTTCCCATTTATTCTTTACACTACAAGGTCCTGTTTGGTAGTTTAATCATTTTTAACTGAGAATTAAAATTAAGGGGGTTTGCGATCCTTCAGGGCGTCTTCTGGATGAGCAGCTTAGAAATGTGGATTGCTCACCAAGGGCAGGAACCACCACTTCCCCAGGCTTTGGCTATGGTGCCTCCTCGGCTGAACTACCATAATCTGAACATCGGGTATGAAAGAGAGCAGAGATATGTATCTTCATAATTCACAGTTAGCCACAAACTTGATGAGCACTAATATCAAGTTACATTTTCTCTATAATCTCTCTATAATTATTTTTATTTGAGCAAAGGGCAAATTCTCCAGATGTATTTCACTCCGTCATCTTGACCCAAATTCTCCTCTAGCAAATCATTACATTTTTAAAACCTGCACAGTACTATTCTAGAATACATTTATGTATTTAATTTTCAGAAGACTTTCTTATGATAAACAAATATGATCCAAAAGAAAAATGAACTCTCGCTTTTCCACTTGTTGTGAGGAATGCTTCTGAGGACGCTTTCCCTAGTTATCATTACTCGCCCAAATACTTACGACTCACAAGGAGCTTTCGGCCAATGGGTTCGACTTTTAATTCATTTGTGACAGGATTAAAAGCTGCACATTTATATGATCCTTTGTCCTCCATGGATACATTCAAAATCTGAAGGTTTCCCGACGGCAGGATGAAGTAATTCTCTGAGGAAGGACGGGGATGCAGTTAGGCATCTTTCTTTACAAAAGGACCCCAGAGAAAACTAATCAATTTTGATAGTTATGCTTTAAATTTAGACGTAAGACTAGCAGCAAGTAAGCAATTGAGGAAAAAAAAAATCACTAAACAAAGGAAAGGAAAAGTCAAGGCAAAAAAGAAGTCCGTGGCACTAGAGTAACAAAATGCAGCCCATTTGAAACATCTGGCGACAGGTCGCTGGTGAGAATGGGCCGCAGGCGGAGAGAGCGGCGTCAGACAAAGACACAGCGCCCTGCGCCATCGCCCAGCATTAGGTCTCGTCCGGTCATTCATTTCTTTCTCAACCAATGTGTTCTGAGTGCCTGTTTTCTGCCAACGACAGCCCAGGCACAGGTGACACAGCAATGAAGACCGCAGACGAAGGCACCGGGGGTGGCAGAGAAAAGGCGAATAGCAGGCCAGCGAACAGAAGCGCACTGACACAGTGCTGGGGGGAAGCGGAGCTGAAGGCGGGGGACAGTGAGCAGCAGGGCGGGTCAGGTTAGAAAGGGCCCCGAGGGCGGCCTCCTCAGAGGACGGTCTGTCTGAGCGGAGACGAACGAGTGCAGGGGGCGAGCCCTGGAGTGTGGATGGTAATCATTTCTGTCATGTAACCATTTCTTCCAGTCTCTTCTCCTTGATTTCTGAGAGCAGAGAACTATCTTACTATCTTACTATCCACAATCCCCAGCACACAGGGATGAGCAGTAGGCTCTTTAATGAACGTCTGACCTGTGGGTGCCATTGGCTTCTCCTAAAAACTCTCACCTGTGGAATGTCTCAGCCATTTTCCCCGGATTTTATAGCGCACCTCAGCTTTGGGGTTGCTAGCTGGTACCTTGCAGCCAATGAAACCAGTGCTTTTTTCTTCCGCTGTAATAACATGCTTTGTTGATGAATCAAAATCACTGAGAACTAAAATAAACAAATAAATAGAAAAATAAATATATGTAAATTCGAACTCTGTCTCCAGAAGGAAATTTAAAAACTAGAAACAACATCTGCAACAAGGCCGTCTGTGGCGGCCAATCCCCATTCACAGGGCCGCAGGGTCTGCTCCTCTCAAAAGGCAGTCGGGGGAGAGGTGCGTGGTTGAGGGCTGGAGCTACAAGTCCTGGCTCCCTTCTCCCGAAGACCTCGGGGAAAAGCACTGCTCTTAAAACATGAGGGCGAACTATAAGGCATAATTGTTCCCGTTCTGTCAAGATAAATCCTTTTCAATCCAGGCCCTCGTCAACACTGATTTCCCCTGTGCATCATTGCTCTGTCTGTAGCTACTCGCATTCAATACAATGGTTTGTGAGGATGAACCCAGGACATTGTAAAACAAAGCTGTGTGTCATCTGAATTATCTGCACACGCTAACTCGGTCTCCGTTGCCCTCAGCCTAAGTTCCCTGCAGACGGAGCCTGTGCGGGGCGGCTCCTGCATCCCCAATGCCAGCAGCAGGCAGCAGCCCGCCACGGGAAGCCAGCCCTCCAGCGCGCTCTCGGAGCAGTCCATGGGTCACAGCTCTACGAAAACATTTACTCTTCTCAGTTATGACAAACTCACTACTCCTGGGGAATCCAGATTTGTTCTGTAAATAGGGGTGCCCTTACAAAGACGTTTTCCATTGCTGGAAGCCATCACCATTTGAAAGGCAGATGGCTCACACGTACTAAGAAAGCCACGAATTCCAGATTTTCCCCAAGTTCAATACGCAACATTCCTTTCTTTACAGTCAGTTATTATTTTCCTGTTTCTTTAGCCTGGTTTCAATTAAATAAATTAAAATCACTCAGTAATCAGGCAAATAAAACAATTAGATGTGAAAGAAAGATAAAGAACTGCATAAAATAACTGAGTGTCAAAGTAGACAATGGCTTTTTTGTTGTTGCTCGCATTAAGGACTTTTAAACACTAATCAAAACAAATTCAGAATTCACTTCAGAAAACTGTCCTGTGTAAAAAATCACTTCCACACCCTTGTTACAGGCTCTCTGGTACTTCTTCACCACTCCCCTTTCATATCAAACAACGTTCAACTCTTAAGAAAGCAGAAGTAGAAAGAACCAGGCTGGGCTTGCTGAGGCTCAAGCACATATCCCCAAATTAAACACCCGGCAAGAGTCAAGGCTGGGATGAGAACCTCTGTGTCTTCCTCCAAAACCCATGCTTTCCCACTACTCCCAAATGCACACACTAACAGTCATTTCAGGAAAAACCATATGTAACAGGGACAAAATTAAACTCACCTGCAACGGACACTGTGGCAGGGCCACTCACCACGGCCCCGACGCTGTTGTTGGCAACGCATTGGTAGTGACCCAAAAGGGAGGGGCTGAGAGAGAGAAGAGTCAAAGTCCCCTGATGAATCTTAACCTGTTCCAAGCTTCTATCCAATCTTTTTCCATTATGCAACCACGTGATATGAGCAGTCACAGGTTTAGCAGAACAATGTAGAACTACAGGTCCACCGAGTTTCTGGACAGCAGACAGTGGCTCAGAAGTAAAATAAGGTGCCAAGTCTGTAAGGGAACATTCCCCATGTGCAGAGGAAGGGGAGGATGAGAAAGAAAATACATTAAATACATTGCATCTCAATCTATGTAACTACAGACAATCCCTTACTTGATCTATGTATGCTATGGTTCTTAGTGCTTGTAAATGTTCTAGGAAGTCTTAAAAGCCAATTTTTGGAAGGAAAAAAAGGCAACATGTTAACCTAGGATTTAACAATTAGGGTAAAATAGAAAAGAATCCTCATGATATGAATGAGAAATGGCAAATTGCTTATTAAAGGAAGTGGCTTTTAAGAAATGAAAGTTGAGAATCTGAAAAAGTGGAGATGACTTTCAAACTAAAAAGAATTCTCTCCCCTATTACCAACAGGATTTGACTTTTAAGAGCAAGTTATTTTATAATAAGGCTATGGTACTTCTTTACCACTTCCCTTTAATATAAAATAATGTTCAACTTCTAAGAAAGCAGAAGTAGAAAGTTAGGAAGCCACATTGAACTTACAAAGTCTATTCTTTTTTTGGATAGAAGGCTCAATAGGGCATCAACCCTACTATTTTTATTTACTATTTGGAATAGTTTCATTTGTTAGGTCTATTTCTCTAGGCACTTGGGGGTGGGGGTCGGAGGAGTCTTGAATTTAAGTATCAAAACAGAGTCCTCTCTTCCACCCAGAACAGAGGACAGGAATGCTGTTGCTCTGGCAAAATAAAATACTTTCTCTAAAAAAATCAATAAATTATTGATTCTACTTTTACAGGATATTTTATCAGAAATGAAGATTAAGGAAAGTACCTCTCCTGACTAAATCTGAAGTTGTTGTTTAGAAAGGAAAAAAAAGGTAATAAAACCACTACATCAATTTTCCCTCATTAAATATAATATAGTTGTATAGTATATTTAACAGAGGAAAATAAATATTACTTAATGAGCAAACATCAATGTACATGTGTATAACATATATGTCTTTACAAAAACCTATAAGAAAAATAAACGCATGTGGGCCATTATTAGGCTCAGCCTTACCTTACACACTTAACAAGAAATAGAGTTAAGCTTTTCAGTAACCCAAAGTGTTAGGTAATAAATTAGACAAGGTCACAAGAGACCTGGGATTTGAACCAAATTCTCTCACTCCAAGATGAATACTGTTACATGCTGATTCTAAAATTTCTTTTTGGTGGTATGCAGTCAGCATTTTATTCCTGTTTTAATTTTGAAATCTATCTTCTTACTGAAAAAGGCACAATTGGAAAATATTTTATTTTTAAGGCAACAGAAGGAATAAATTACAAGGACATTGATGTGAAGGCCGGCTAATGTCCAAGCAGCACTACTAAGAGATCATTAAACTGCCAAATCAATCAAAGTTTTAAAATCATTCTAACAAATGATTTTACGAATGTGTTTAGACTCCATCGCCACCAGCGTAAACAAATTTTACGAATGTTTTTAGAATCCATCACCACCAGCGAAACGCTGAAGTCGAGGTTTTTATGTTGGTTTGTTTATTTTTTTAGATTAAGGTGAGGAAAATCTCCAGCTAAAATACTACTATTCTCCTACTCTCACCTGAACTCACGGGAGAGCACAGAGCCAAAAGAACACCATACAGCAGCGTGCGGAAGGGGCCAGGATGCGGATGCATAGCGCCAGGTTACAGAGGCGGGCGGGACAGGTTTCCAGAGGAAAGCCCAGGTCTTGGCTCGCTGAAAAACAGTCACAGAAAAGAAATCTAAACCACAGAAACAGTTGAACTCATTAATGTGAATAGTCAATAGAGTTGTGAGCATATTCGATCTCTTCCCCACTTGCAAACTAATCTCTAGGCACTTAATTACAGTTAGAAGTTTTGGTTATTCTTCCAAAGTGTTGAGATACCTTGTACGATGCAGAATCCATCATTCCAAATGAATATTTTCAACAGCCTGTAGTGCATTTGTTTTATGTCTCACAAGCATCTACAATTCAACACTATCAAAATGTACTCCTTCTCTACATACTTTAAAACAGAAATAAAATAACCAGCAAATAGCCAGCACTTATATAGTGCTTACTATGTGCAAGACACATTTCAGTGCTATTAATACATTAACTTCATCTTCACAGCAACCCTATGACATAGGAACTAATGGTTTCCTTCCCTTTTTTTCAGATGGGGGACGTGGGCGCATGGATTGTTCCCGCAGAGGATACCAAGTGCAGGCCTGTGTGGGGCTGGAGGTTACGTAGCGTGTTTGCAGAACATCCGAAGACCAGGTGGCAAGCGCAGGATGAGCCAGGAAGTGAGCGTAAAAAAGAAAGCTGGCCCAGATTCTACCCAGCTTTGAAAAGCATGGTAGAGATTTTGGAATTGGGTGAAAAAGGTGGTAGGGATTAGAAGTACAAATTGCTAGCTATAAAAACAGTCACAGGGATGTAATACACAGCATGGAGGATACAGTCAAAAAATATTGTAATAACTACGTATGCTGTCGCATGGGTATTAGACTTCACAGGGTGATCACTGCATACGGCATGTAAGTGTCTAATTACTATGTTGTACACCTAAAACTAATATGCCAACTGTCATTGAAAAATAAAATTTAAAAAAATGTTGGACTATTTTCAATGTGATAGCAAGTCCTTAGAGGACTTAGAGAAGGGGCATGGTGGCATCTCACTTAGGTTTTAAAAAGATCACTGGCTGGCGGGGACTGGACCAAAGCGGGGCAGGGATGGAAGGAGACCAAGGAGAGTAATGCAACCCCGCAGGATAGAGATAAGAAGGGGGGGGGCGTTGGACCAGCGAGTCAGCTGTGCGGTGGTGAAAAGCAGCTGGACTCAAAACACAGGCTAAAGATAGAACCAAGAAAATTTGCTGAAGCTTGGACACAGAATGCGAGATAAAGAGATGTGCTAATAGTTTTGGTTTAACAGAATGAATAATAGCTCTGTGTGCTGCAATGGGGAAGACAGGAGAGAGGGAGGCAGTAAGAGAGGGGGTTAGTGAACGGTGCCGTTTTAGCCAAGTTAAGCCTAGGATATCTATCAGGCAGCCCAGTACTGCTGTCGATCAACAACGACATAGAGGAGTCGAGCTGTGGAGTAAGTGAGAGCTGGAAATGCAGACACTGGACCTATACAAGCCATGGCACTGTATGAGCTCTAAGGAAAATGAGAGAAGAGGAAGGACCAGGTAGGAGCCTTGGGGCATTCCAGCCTTCAGAGACTGAACAGAAGAGAAGGAAGGAGCAATGGAGACTGGAAAGTCATCAAAGAAATTGGAAGAAATCTAGGAGAACATTGTATCTGGGGAGAAAAATAGAAAAAAAAAAATCTCTAGAAGAGTCATGAACTCTCTCAGACACTTCTGAGAAGCAGAGTAAGACGAGACACCATGAGAACATAATGGAGATCTCTGGTGACACTGACAAGAGGGGTTTCAGTGGGGGCGGGTTTCAGTGGGGACGGGAGGAAAGACTGGCAGGGGGTTCACAATACAAAGGGAAGAGAGGAAACGAAGAAAGCAGGCACAGAGCACTCAAGAGTTTTGCTATAAGAGGGCAGCAGAAAAATAGGGAGAATGGATGTAGATGAATGGCAGTCAAGGGAAGGTTTGTTTGTGGGGGGATTTTCGAATACAGAGATAATATAACAATTTAGCAAAGCTAAAAATGCTTACTTCTCTATGTCACGTACTCCAAATTCTACGAGTAGCAAATTCCACTTTATCCCAATGACGGACTATCAGTTCATGGGCTGCCTTTTCAATTTTTCCTTGCTGACCTCTTCTTAAAAATGAGAGAGGATATTTTGGTACTCTTCATGGGAAGAAAGGGCCATCTGTGTGAAAACTTTTTTTTTTTTTTGGTTTATTTGAATTCATATTTTCTTCAAGGGTAAGAACTGACACACCACTGCTAAGCAGTCAAGCAAAGTAAACATTCAAATAACTTGCTAACAGGAGCCACTTTCCTGAGAGAATGAGGACAAGTAGGAGTGTTTCTTCCTTTTGCCAAATCTTTCCTCAACTATTTATTTATTGAAAAGCCCGGGAAAAAATTCCTGAGTCAACTTTAACCCCAGCATATGATCTACTGAGTTACTTTACAGATGTCCTTTAAAATTTCACAGCTCATTATTGCTACCTAAACAGCAGCACACAGAAATATACTTTACTCATTCTATCAGGTTTCTCATAACACACCGTCCATTTCTAATTTAATATTTATTTTTCTAATACAGTTGATGCATATTATATTAGTTTCAGGCATACAATGTAGTAATAACACATTGTATAACTTACTAAGTGATCACCCTGGTAAGTCTAGTACCCATATGACACTATCCATAGTTATTAAAATTTTATTGACTATATTCTCTATGTTGTACTTTACATCCCCATGACTATTCTGTGACCACCAATTTGCACTTCTTAATCCCCTCACTTTTTCCACCTTTCCCCTCAATGCCCCGCCCACCTAGCAAGTGTCAAAATGGTCTCTGTAGCTATGAGTCTGTTTCTGTTCTGTGTGTTCATTCGTTTTGTTGCACTGATTCCACATATAAGTAAAATCATCTGACATTTGTCTTTCTCCGTCTTATTTCACAGCCTCTTTGTCCGTTCATGTTGTTGCAGATGCAGGATTTCCTTCTTTTTTATGGCTGAGTCATATTTCACTGTGTACAGGCACCATTTCTACTTTATCCCGTTCATCTCTTGATGGACACTTAGGCTGTTTCTATATCTTGGCTATTGTAAATAATGCTGCAATGAATATAAGATACTTTTTTTTTTTCAAATTAATGTTTTGGGTTTCTTCAGTTAAATGCCCAGAAGTGAAATTACTGGGTCCTTCTTCGTCTCTTGTTATCACCCTTGTTTTAAAATTTATTTTTTGTCTGGTATAAATATTGATTGCTACCACACCTTTTTAATTTTTGTTTCCATTTTCATGAAATATCTTTGTCCATCCCTTTACTTTCAGTCTTTTTTTGTGTTTTTTGACCTGAATTAAGTCTTTTGTAGGCAGCACAAGGGTCTTGTTTTGTTATCCATTCAACTACCCTATTTTGGAGTATTTAATCCACTTGCATTAAAAGTAATGATGATCAATACATATTATTGCCATTTTATTATTTATATTTTTTAAATCTTTTTCTTCTTCCTCTTTGTAAAAAAGACCCTTTAACATTTCTTGTAATACTGGTTTTGTGGCAATGAACTCCTTTAGCTTTTTCTCTTCCGGGAAGCTCTTCATCTGCCCTCCAATTCTAAATCACAGCTTTTCTGGATAGAATAGACTTGATTGTAGGTCCTTGCTTTTTATCACTTTGAATATTTCATGCCAATCCCTTCTGGCCTACAAAGTTTCTGTTAAGATCAGCTGACAGTCTTATGAGAGCTCCCTTGTAGGTAACTACCTGCTTTTCTCTTGCTGCTTTTAAGATTCCCTCTTTGTCTTTAACTTTTGGTATTTTAATTATGATGTGTCTTGGTGTGGACCTCTTTGGGTTCATTTTGTTTGGGACTTTCTGTGCTTTCCTGGACTTGTATATCTATTTCCTTCACCAGGTTAAGGAAGTTTCCCATCATTATTTTTTCAAATATGTTTTCAATTCTTTGCTCTCTTTTCCTCCAGCCCTCCCAAGATGTGAATGTTGGTACGCTTGCAGTTGTCCCAGAGGTTCTTTAAACTATCCTCATTTTTTTTTGTACTTTTTACTTTTGCTGTTCTAATTGGCTGTTTTCTGCTTCCTTAACTTCCAATTCGCTGATTTGATCCTCTGTTTCATCTACTTTACTGTAATTCCCTGTAATGTATTCTTTTCAGTCACAGCATTCTTCATTTCTGACTGGTTCTCTTTTATGTTTTCTAATTCCATTTTTGTTTTCTATCTCTTTGTCAAAGATCTCACTGAGGTCATTGAGCATCCTTATAAGTGATGTTTTGAGTTGTGCATTTGGTAGATCACTTGTCTCCATTTTGTCTAGCTCTTTTTCTGGAGTTTTGTTCTGTTCATTCATTTGGAACATGTCTTTGTCTCCTCATTTGGTTGTCTTCCCATGTTTGTTGCTATATATCAGGTAGAGCTGCTATGTCTCCGAGTCTTATGGAGTGGCCTTATGTAGTAGATGTGTCCTGTAGGGCCCAGCGGCACAGCTTCCCGGTTGCCCAATCTGGGCACTCCAAGTGCACCCCCAGTTTAAGCTGTGTCCACCTTCCTGTTGTGTTTGAGCCTTGACTGCTTTTGGTACATCAATGGGAGGCACTGAGCCCCAGGCCCACAGGCTGAGAGAACTAGCTGCAACCCCAACAGACGACCTGTTGTGCACGGGCTGACCCCAAATAGCAGGAGTTACTTCAGCAGGGCTCTGGTACGCAGTGAGCCTGCCCCTTAAGTGTGTCTCTGGTGGAGGTGGTCAGGTGGTGCTCTGCTGCAGCCTGAAGCTGGCTGCCAGGTGTACTGGCTCTGGGCCTCCCAGGAGGTACAGCCCAAGATCAGCTGCCACCTGAGCCCTGTCTGGCATGAGCTACAAAGCAATCTGCAGATGGCTGCTATTGGGCTGGGTTTGGAGGTGCCCAGGAGAGGCCAAGCTGTGAACTGAGGCTGACTACCCCCAGTGCTGGGCGTGGGGCCACTTAGCAAGAAGTGCAGGGCACACTGAGGCCAGATGCTGCTTATTTGGGGTTTGTGAACCTTTGACTGAGATTTTAGGAAAGTC